CCTGGTCCTCCTGACGGTGATCCCTCTCCTCTGTGATGCATCCCCTATCTCTTGCAGCAGACTGACCGCCCCATGCCAGCATTTGGACCTTGTATTGTGTGTTTCCCCCGCCCGCTCGTCCACCCGTTTTCCCCTTGCTCCGAGGTTTTGATCCCTCCCCTCTGTGATGCTTCCCCTATCTCTTGCAGCAGACTGACCACTCCATGCTCTGCAGCATCACTTTTTTGAGCCACCCGTTGCTTTTGCCTGGGTTTTGCTCATCTATCCTGGGTGAACTGCTGCGGCAAATATCGTCTGTGCTGCAGCGTGCCTGTTCATTTTGTGGCTAAACTGTGCGAGACTCGTTGTATCACAGGATATGATCCCTCACAACAAAGTTTACAAGACCTCTGAATGGATACGGATATGGTGCCCATCTCTACGCTGCGATTCCTCAGTGGATGCAATGTGCCATGCAGCTTCACTCTGTTCCAGACAGAGCAGCTGTCCCTGCGCATTAATTTCTGAAAATGCTGATCCATGCACTTCTCACTCTGCGCAGACGATCTTGTTCCATGCAGGTTCTTGTTGTCATCTGTCCCTTCCTCGACTTCTCCAGTTGATGACTTTGTGCCATGATGCTATCCAGCTTGGCTCTGTTGCGGAGCAGTTGTCCCTCCACAATCCCTCCAGTGGATGACTGCGTGTGCCATGCAACTCTCTCTTTGAGCAGACTGTTTGTCTCCAAGCCTCCCTCGTTGTCCACTTCCATGTCTTGTCTGTGCTTAGGTATGTCCTTGAGTGAGTGAAATGGAAGGAAGGTGGAATGTACCTATCTTGGAGCAGATTTATCTCCTCGGTCCCATTGCACCTCGGCTCTCCAGTTGCTGGCGATATTTCCTTTACGCTGCAGCTGTTAGTGGTTTTGTCTCCGAAATCCGTCCTGCGGTTGTTGGCGATTATTGTGCCGGAACGGTCTATTGCAGCTCGTAGCGGATTTTGTGCTCTGGAGCTCGAGCTCGTCGAAGGCTTCTGGTTGATTACTGGGAATTCTTTGAATTTCTGACGTGCTCCGGTGTCAGTGAACCGAAGGCTTCTGATTGATTACTCGGGAATTCTTCGGAGTTCTGCATTACGCCTGGGCGTCCTTTTTGCTGCCGTGGTAACTTGCCTGCAGACGTGATGGTGTCCTTTTTGCTGCAATGCGGACTTGCCTGCAGACTTGATGCCCAAGGTTTTCTGGTTTTCTGGTTGATTGGAAATCTTCCAGCGGTCTCTGCACTTCCGAATCTTTTGTGCTGGAACTGTTTTTGGACTGATTTCTGTCCTGGACCTCTAGCTCGTTCCCATGATGATGACTTTCCTCTCGCGAACCATTTGGAGCTTTCACAGCTGGGCCAACGGAGGTGTTTTGGTTAATGGGAGGTTTGTAGAGAATTGTACGTGCGGGGACATCATTTGAAGGCTGCTGGGTCTGTGAGCAAGAGGTTGGTTTATATCCGCTAGGGAGGTGTTTTGGTTAATGGGAGGTTTGTAGAGAACTGTACGTGTGAGGACATCATTTGAAGGCTGCTGGGTCTGTGAGGAAGAGGTTGGTTTATATCCGCTAGGGCGAAACTCTGAAGTCGTAGAAGAAGGAACAGAGTCGTGTACTATAAAACGGTCTGCATCATGTTGTAGCAGTTGTTTGAGCTTCTGGTAGGCGTATGAGCTTCTTAATGAGCTTAACAATGTACCTCTGGACGTGAATGGTGAAATGGTCTTGTGGCAATACATGCTTAAATCCTTTGTGATCTCTGCGTCGTGGTCTCACATCTTTCTTCTGGTTGAAGCCTGTTTTCTGTGGGTCTCTCTCGCTCTCTCTCTCTCTCTCTCTCTCTCTCTCTCTCTCTCTCTCTCTCTCTCTCTCTCTCTCTCTCTCTCTCTCTCTCTCTCTCNCTCTCGCTCTCTCTCTCTCTCTCTCTCTCTCTCTCTCTGTGTATGGCATTTGTGTAGGTGGCCTTTTTGACTATACAAACAGAACAGCAGTTAGCACATATGTGGTTTGCATTCGTGGAACAGTCTCTACAGTATATTATTGTGGTCACCTTCTCCCCACCCAGACTTGCTGCAGCTCTCATTGGTGCAGGCTGGTCTTGCCCAACCACGGAGAGAGAGAGAGAGAGAGGGAGGCCACCTCTCTCCCCACCCTCCCTCAAGGGTATCGTGAACTGTTCGAGATGCGGTACGATGCATCACTGAAATGGACTTGGGTATATTCTGCAGACTGTCAGGGTTAAAACCTGAGTCTGTGACACTGTTCGAACTGCGTGTGGTATAACGAAAAAAAAAAGGGTGCATTGCATACAGTGTGGTCATTCGTGGAGGAAGTACACATTTTGGTATATAATGTTACGTTCTTGTTTGCTTACAGTCCCCTGTTGTTGTGTTTCCTGTTGGCCCCAGCGGCGCTGCACATCTGAGGTGTGCCTTTGTATCCAGATGGGTGCATGCTCACTGCCTGGTGCCATGCATTTGGGGACCCGTTTTTGTGGTTTCAACTTTTCATTCATTCTGCCCCAGAGTGGTGCAGAGGACCCCTTGCCAGGCTGGACCAAAAATGAATTACAAAAAAAAATTTGAAAACAGAAATTCTGACTGAACTTTTGTGCAGTCGGTACAAGATTTGAAATGGACAAGAGAGACCATAGGCTGAAACATGATTGTAAGGCACCGCACAGACAGCAGTGGGAGTTGGCGGACACGAGAGAAAAAAAGAAAAAGAAAGAAAGTATCGAAATAAAGAGGAGTGTCCTTTGGACTCCTTCCCGTTACGCGTGTGCTAGAATAACAGTACCAACATGAAGCTCCTAGTGAATGGACGAGGAGCATCTGTGGCAAATTCCCTCCGGTTTGGGCTGATGTGTTCAAGACCTCGTCAGGGGTGTGTGAAGGGCCAGCGGCGTTTTTTTGCAGTTGGGATGCCTTTTGGGAGGTGGCTATTTAAATGGGCTGCTATGTCGTTGTAGGTGAAAGAGGTCCGGGGAGGTCAGGGTTAGATTGGGGATTTGTGCCTATGGTTTTCTGCTCAGGCAGTAAAATCGCCCTGGTTATCCCTGACCTTTTCCTGTTGTATGTGCGTGACATGTCAGGACCCGAATGCAAGCCGCTGCTAAACTGTCGCAGAACCGAAATGTACTCTGCAAATGTACTCTGCACAGATCACCTTGACCTCCGAACATAGTCACTTTTTGGCTGCACACCCCTTTAACAGGAAAGATAGCTTGTACCCACCCGTTAGCCGGCCGCGCTGTGCCTGGCGGAGGAAGGGAGACCAACTGGACGTTTTCTTGGAACTAACAAATATCCAAAGGAAGGGGGGTTTACAAACAGGATAGCGAACCCGTAGAGGGAGGTGGGGCCGTGTCATTGAGGAAAAAAGACACTCTACTGAAGGGGGGTTTACAAACAGGATAGCCAACCCGTAGAGGGAGGTGGGGCCGTGTCATTGAGGAAAAAAGACACTACTGATACTTTTTGTTTTTTTCGGGGGG